AACAATTACATATATCGTAATCGGGTGAGTTACAATTTTGCTTATGTGTCGCGTTCTCATCGTGGCATTCTCTTTTTTTTTGTTTCCATCTGTTGTAATATAAAATCATGGGTCGAAATACCTAGAAAGAGCCACAATCCCATCACAGGAAGCTACAATCTCACAACTTAATCCCACAGAAGGGGAGACTCAAAACCCACATCATAATCCCACTATTTTTATCCAACTTAATCCCACCAAAGGGGAGCTAAAGTACAACCACTTAAACGGATCCAAGATCCCAACTTAAGAGACATTACAAACAGGAAGCCGGAGAACTAAACTTGAATTAAGGTACTAACAAACCTAAAGAATAAGCCGAAATCGAAAGACAACTGATCCGAGGAGAGGTGATGTAGATAACCCGAAGAGCCTTATTCGTCTTGAAAGAATGAGTCGGATCAATTCCTATCTAATGCTCGTGCCCATCTAGGGTGAGACAAGGGCTTTCAAGACCCGATCAAAACCTTACCAAAGAACATTGATTGCATGAACTGATTTTAAAACCGGTGAGCTATGGCTCATGGTTGACTACACTCCAAACAGATGACTCGATCAAAGCTTAAACAAAGACCACTTAGCAACAACCCAAGCAGAGACGATTCCAGACTATTAATGCAACGTCGACGCGAAGAAAAAACAATGCTAACCGGTTGCGAAAAGGACATATCAACTCTGAACAAAGGAGACGCCTTTGAAACTCCGAGGTATCACCGGAAATCCATCATTAAAAACACCAAACAACCTAACCTCCAGAGAAGCTCTAAAGACAAAACCCAAACTCACGAATTGAAATCCACCGACACAAGACCAAGCCACACACCAAATCTAGCTGGCTCGAGCCTGAATTCTACACCACTAGCAGCAACTAGATCAGACGAAGAAAGGAGCCTCTGCCGAGAAGCCAAGCCCAAAACGATGAAGAGACAGGAGAGGCGGCTTGACCAGCAGAAGCAAGACCAGAGCATCACCTAGAAGGAGACCGCCGACCGCCGCTTCATCCCCTACGAACCAGAGCTAAGTCCGAACGAAACCCAGCCTCCAAATCGCATCAGATCGCAGCCCGAGCCAAAGAACCCACTATTGCAACCCAGAAAAAAATGAACTAAGAGCAAACGAAAGGAAATCCTAAGGATCCGGCACCGGCGCTGTGGAAGCCGCCGGTCGCCGGACCAAACCAAGCAAAAACAAGCTTTGTGTACTGTAGCAGCCGGCAAAGCTTCAAACTAGGTCGAACCCCTCCATAGTTGCGAAAGTCTCTTTAAACATCGTTTTCTTCAATCTACCTAATTTGAGAATGACACATTCTCCTTTATATAATAAGATTTAGAATATATTTTTTATTTTAATTTTTAAAATTTTGTTAATATTAACACATGTCCCAATCTAAATTAACAATTACATGTGTCGTAATTTAGTGAGTTACAATTTTGCTTATGTGTCGCGTTCTTATCGTGCGCATTCATTTTTATATAATAAAATATTGTCAATTTATAATTTGTAACGTTTTAGATTGTACCAATCATAAAAATAATACCGAAAATTTTACCAAAAACATTATACTCAGTTTTATTTGTATAATTTTTTTACCGTCGTTTTCTACAGTTTTGCACTATAGTATCTAGTTTACAGTTAAAAAGAATACCGTTTTCAATTACCAATCAGACCAAACCCCACAAAATAAATATCATGTTATTTCTATATAAAGCTATCTATTTCAATCGGTTTACTGAAGTTCGGATAATCGCAAGTTTATGTGACAAATAAAATCCAAAAATATAATATCGTTAGATGGCCGGCTAAATAAATATATATAATATCGTTAGATGTAGTATTTATAAACGACGACAAATACTACTAACTTTGAAATCTTGAATAAACGATTCGGTCGGCTTTGATCAATTAAAGACCTAAAGCAAATTAAAAAAACTGTGGTTTACGTTTCTATGGGATGAATAAAAAGTGTATATT